TTAAGAAAAAAATAAAATAAATAAGAAAGAAATGAGAAGGGATGAAACGGATACCAGATAAATCTTCAAAAGTGTTTAAGTCAATGGTTTGTTACATCCTTTTAAGAAACTGTTTACACACAAAACTGGCATTTCTTAAAGTAATATCAATATTTAAGATATCTGATTCAAATGCAGCAAACTTCAGCAGGTACTCTGTTTAAATCAACTCAGCTCCTGGCTTACATAGCAAATCCATACAACTGTGTGCAGAGCATACTTCTGACTTACTTTTAACAACCAGATACATAGACCATCATCTGTTTTCTCTTCCCTTTGACTTTACTGAATAGCTTGTGTCTCATAGATCACAGAAAAATGGGGGGGCTTTTCAGGAGGTGTTTGAATGCAGGGAGGGAGCCTTGCAAATCAGTTCAGAAAGGGTGTTCCACAATTGATGAATGTTCCAGAAACAGCTGTGGTACTTTACCAGCATTAGCTTGGGATAGCTGCATTACATATAAGTGGGGAAGCTCCAAACACAACATATAAATAATATTAATGAAGTTGTGTGTGTGTGTGTGTGTATACACATACACTTTTTCCCACCCACTCCACAAGTTATGTACTCTCCATGGCATAGGATGTACTACTCTCTTTTCCATACAAAACCCTCTGGAATTACAGTGGTACTCCAACTGCTTCAGTGGCAATAAAGACCTTTTTGTTTAATTCTTAAATTTTTGAGCAGCATGTTGTCAGACAGTGTCAGCACATTTCCTTGGGACCAAAACTCCACAGTGCATAGCGCTACATTAAAACAGAAGAATATTAGTCCATAGAATCTCATTTAAGACAAAGATGGTTGAAAAAATAATCAGACAAATCTTCACAATTTGTTGTGGTTCTTCTCATAGTGAAATTCACAGTTCTTTGCTTTGTTCTCTTTCTGGCTGTACTGCTGACTTTAATTTGCTACTGGTTAAGTTTTTCTTCTACTAAAAAGAAACCTGAAAACACTCTGCCTGGTGAAGTGCTTTCTTTTTACATAGGCAATCTCTGCCAAAGTATAAAGCTGCAATTTACTGTAGCTGAGTTGTATCAGTAACATAAATAAGACAAACTGTAGAGATGTAATATCTTTTATCAGGTATTTTTCTGGTACAGCTTAAAAAATTTTGCCACTTTTAAGCACAGAAACCTTTCTGCAGGTAAGATGTCTTCAGAACGAGAAGTCTCGATCAGTTTGACAGTGGTTCCATTTTCGCTGCAGTCAAGAAGGAGATCATAGTTGAAACACCTGAGCTGGCCTTATCTTGCACAGCTCAGCTCCCAGAAACAACACAGCCAGGTCAGCTGCCCAGCTTCCTGGAGAGATCTGGCAGGCTGCACTGAGCTCTGTATTGCCTTTGTTCACCTAAACCAAGTTCTGGTACCTCCACGTGTCACATCTTCACTCCAGTGTATTCCAAAACCAATGAGAATTTATCACCTATGGCTGAGATTTAATGGACTGATCTCTGGGAATTAAACTGTTGTTGAAATGTACTCCAAAATGGAAGAAGATACGTGTGTCAAAAGCAGGTTATTTGCTGGAAGGGTGGTGGCCTGAAGAAAGACTGTCTCTGTAAAAGGCCAAGGTGATATGTAGTCATCTAGAATCAATGGAAGTGGGTGCCAACATCTTCATGACATACTAAGAAGACTCCCAGAACCATGCATACACACAGGTTTCTATGTGGAAGGTAGGTGTTTTTGCAGGGTTTCTCACCTCTATGTAAAGATGGAAATCTGGGACTTCTAAACTGCTTCTTCTTAAGAAGCTACATGTAGCTAGATGTTCCTACATCTTTAGATTACATTCAAAAGAAAGTGTAAGAAGCATATCAGACCTCTGCAACATCACTATGGAACACTGGACTACAATCCGGCCATAATCTCTTAGGGAAAAGTGAGCAGCAGTGTCAGAATCCCACGGTTGTTTTACACAAACCTGCAACAGGTCACAACAGGAGACCCAGTCTCCCTTTCTTGCTAAATGCAGCTCAGCAGCATCTCTCAGCATGTTCAGACTGTGTTCCCTGCACTCCCTTTGTCTCAGAATCTCATTAGCAAAAATCTGCTATTTCCAGTTAAATGTCTTGAAAATGCATATACAGTAATAATGTTTCATGTGATAATTCTAAATTTTAATTATTTGCACTGAAAATGGTAAAATCTCCTTTTGAGACAAACCAGAAACGTATCAAACCATTTTTCTCTTCAATAGTACAGTTCCCTGTTTTCAAGGCTTCTGCTGGGAACTTAGCAAATGCTTTAAATAATTTGTCACCTTTGTAATTTATTTCTTCCTTACTCTGAACAAGAGACTCAGACTCACTAGTGTTTAAATCCTAAAGCTTTTAAGACATACTAGTTTTGTGGCACTGTTAAGATTTCTTGTGATGCTGCTTGCTAAAACTTATCTCCATTTCATTAAGAACAAATTGGATACGACTTCAATCATAATTGAGTGGAAACTGAGGTATAATATCCATACTGTGCATAAAATTATAACGAAAAATATATTTTTGTCACCTTAATATCCTTTAGCTAATAGCAGAAAGAATGAGTATTAAATCAGCAGTGCTGCATATTAATCTCTATTAGGCAACACTGTTTTAATGTTAAAATATGAACTAAAAAACCCCTAGAGTCTGCTCCCATTAGTACCTTGTTATCCTGATAATTTATGTTTCACAAAGGTTTTCAATTTCAAAATGACAGACTTTGAAAAACTGAGGGAATGAATTAACAATGTGAACTGACTGAAACACTCAGGAACTTAAGTGAGGAAGAGGACTAGACTTTCTTTAAATCAAAAATACTAAAAATAACACACAATCTGCATTTCACGCATGGGGATACTTGTCAGAAAGGAGATTCAGCCTTGTACTGAACAGCCACCTAAACAGAAGCTGGCTAGTGAGAAGCAGGTCACGTGCGATGAATGAAAGTACTGATCTACAAGAAAAGCAGGATCTTGGAGGTCTGGAAATGCAGAGGTTATGGAGCAACTGCCACAACTTACAGTAAGGAAGATTTTGCAAAGGAAGTCAAATCAAAGAACAGCAAGGTCTTAAGTATAAACAGAAAAAGAACAAGCAAAAAGGTAGAAAATGAAGACTTAGCCTCAGTTTCATGGCAGTGCAAAGTGTGGAGACAACAGAAGGATGAACATTAGGAGCACATACAGAAGTGGAGGCCACTGCAGCCAATGATCTCTGTCCCTGAACAGTGAATGAACCAGTCCCAGAGATGGCCAGACTAGCGTAACTGACTTAAAACAAAAAGATCCCCACTCAGAATCAAGGAATCCAGTGATGAGAGAAGTAAATGCAATGCCGTCCATTTAAAGAGGAAGGCAACAAAATGTGTTAATATGGAATCATTAGTACGCAAACTATTAAAAAAGATTTTGATGGAAAGAATTGTCAAAAGCATGGAGGTAAGTGAGGAAAATGGAACAGGCTCCCAAGAATTACTCATGACAGGCTAAACTGCTATTTTTGCTTGGCAAGGCAGCTCATTTTTTAGACAGCAAGGACAGAATACTCTAACTGGGCTTCAGTAAAACATTCAGAAAGGTTCACTCAGAACAGGACTGGAATAGAGAGCTAAACAGGCAACCAGGCAGAAGAGAAATATCAATGGTTGTGTTGGTGCAAGAACCATTGGGATGGAAGAAAGTAAACAGAGTTCCACAAAAGCAGTCCTGGAACCAAATTTCATTTAATATTTTCATTTTATAGCTTGGTACAAAAATAGAAGATCAGCTAATAATACAAAGGGACTCATCTCACCCAAATCTTGTTGTCTAAATATCAGGCTTTTACTGGAAAATAGTTGCTCCTTTCATAGTCAATGCAGAAACAGGCACCTCGGAGGGAAAGTCTGTCTAGAGATGTCTAAGATAGTTCCTTCTTTCCACTGCCTGTAGAGGAAGTCTAGATGATTTTATTAAACAAACAGCCTAACTTTCAGATAGCTAAGCCATGCTATTTGGTGGTTGGCACAACAGATATAGCTCACAGAGAAAATATTCAACTCCTGCAGTGCACGAGAATGAACTTTCTACAATTCATGTGTAGATATGGGAGAGGTTTTGGGTTTATCTTGATCAGACCTGGTGTTCAGCTGTACCTAATGAATAGGCTCCCTACATTAACACACACCAGTCTTCTGCTTTCCAGTGGAGGCTGCTTACTTTCAAAGGGCAATACTGGTCCAAAGGTTTGTGGGGTGAGGTTCAGAGGCAGATCTCCAAGGGCCAAAAAGCATCTGCCTCTAGTTTGCCTTTACAATGAACTCGCAGACTGCAATACTGAGTATCAGGTGATGAAATCATAAAATACATTAGCCTTTAGTAGCCCCTGGGCAAGATTCTTACTGCTGAGATACATATCTATAGAGGGGATTAGGGAATTAGAACATAAATCCCTTTTCTTACTTTGTAGTTCTCAGCAATTCTTCATCTCTGAGCTCTGCATCCTCAGAACTTAATGACAGGGTGCTACATAAAGAATTAGTAATGCAACTTATATGAAGCACCCCACGAACTCCAAAAATACGTTCCTTTGTATAGCATGCCAAAAACATTCTTACATGTAATCATCAAAACAAATAAAACATGCTGTTTTGAACTACAAGATCTTTAATGGCTATTTTGTAAATAATAATCTGTCTTTATGTATGGTTCTGTCCTGCAGCGTAGCATTTGGTGGTGTCTGCTACTGCAATCCACCATGTAATTGTTGCTCACATAAAGGACTCACTTCAGCTAAAATTTCAAGTTGCACGGTCCAGAGTAGAAGACATTGAATGTGAAATACTAACCAAAAAAACCTGTGCATACTATCACCTCCTTTCCCTTCCCATTGTTCGCTCCCCCTTCCACAACATCACTCATTAATCTAACACAGAAATCAGGAGTTGGGTCCTCAGCAGCGTTAAAGCTACAACAATGCTTTCTCCATACTCACTTTTGGCACATGTGGATTAAATTCTACTGCTCTGTGAATAGCTTCTACTGCATTCATCTCTGCAGTACTCAGCCCTCGCCTTGAGGCAGCCTCTGGAGAAAATCTACAAAAGAAAGAAACAAACACATTAGGTCAGAAATGCCAGTAAGAAAAAGCCAAAAAAGGAATCTAGAACATGGGCCCATCTAACCAAACTGAGTCAATTTCCTATGCTCTCCAAACTTCTATAGCAAGTGGAAACTCTGAGTGATCTATTACATCAAGGCCAATGAAAATCCCAGCAGAAGTGGAAAGCATGTTTGCATCTAATCGTGGCAGAAAGTCAGTTCAAACAGTCCTTTCTCTGTCACTAATCTAAATTTGCTCTAGGTACCTTGCTAAGGGGCATATTCAAGGCTGAAGTTGCAGAAAAAAGAAAAGAAAAAAAAAACCAACAATGCCAAATTATTGTTGGAGGGTTTCTATTAAAAACAGGTTTGGGGAGGTTTTAGGGAGGTTCCCAACCCAATGCCCCTGGGTCAGGTTGGGATGGAAGCACGATGCAGCAGCAGTAGCGGGTGGTCTACTGGCCGCAGCACCATTGAGGGTAGCATGCCCAAACTGTGGGCAAATCATCTGCCCCAGTGAATGAAAAACCAGACCATGCAATCTCTTTCTCACCTCACACCCCACGGCTAACTCCAGAGCTGTACTTGGCAGGCAGACACCACAGGGAAAGCTGTGACAACCTTAGCCCTGCCCTCCCAAGCTGGAGTCGCTGTGTAGGGAGGAAAGATGTTGCAGTAGGTACTGGCGATCTACAGGATAAAAAGAATGAAAGAAAATTACTTAGATCTTGCTGTGTACATACACTTTAAAAGCAAAAACTGTCAGGATGTCAGTCAAGAAAATGGCTTTCCACTCTACTTGCTTTCCAACTTTAGGGAGGCATTCGACCCTCAGGTGCACAGACACAACTCTGCCTGGGATTTGTGTGAAGGCATCTGAGAGCAGAATCGGGATTTGTGAGCTCCATCTCACAAGGAGCTGAGCACCCTTTCAGAGTGGGCTAGTGCTCTCAAGTCCACAGGCATCAAGTAGATGTGCTCAGCACCTTGGAAGGTTGAGACCCAAGAGAAAACCATAACAGGAATGAGCAGACATTTGTGTCTCTAAAAATATGAACGTCATCTACCTCTCGGAATCCCTGACATAGTAATGCTAAATCCACTTGCCACTATTAAAGTAGATGAGCAGTCTTTTGACAGCACTTGTAAAATGACATTGCTACCAGTGCATCCACATTTATTTATTACCTTTTTGTGGTCAGGTTTATACAAAGTTGAGGAGGTTGAGCCACACAACACCTTTTAGTTGCATCTTCATTATACTATCTAGGAAGCCAAAGCTCACCCAGACAGTATACGTAAAACTGAAACAGGAATTGAATTTATGCTATTTCTCTTCTTTTCTTCTTCTGGAATATTTGAAGTGCAATGTTTGATCACTGCAAATTTTTCGTATATATAAAGTCATTGTATGAATTTACTGCAGGACTGAATTCTCCTGCTAATCCAGCAGATTGTTAGGGTGTGGGCTCAGCTAAGAGAAATCTTGAGTTAAATCAGGAATTTTGCTGGACAGTGGTTCTTATGCACTTACTTGTCAGAGACAGCTCTGGCTTTGAGCAATGCAGCTGTGTAACATATTGTTGCTGATTTTGGTAAGCTTATATCTGTTGAAAAGAAAGGGAAAAAAAGTAAACATCTGAAAATTTAGAAGTCTGCATAAAGAAAAGTGTTTGATTGATACTTCAGAGTAGGCATGGCATACACAAAATTATTACGTGAATTTGGAATACTTTCTGATCTTGGGACTTGTACTCCCATGTCACATGGATTTTTAAATTTCCACCCAATATACAGGCTTTAAAACCTGTGTTAATGACCACTGGAACTGCTATTTAAGCAGCAACTGGGTTCATTAGAGAACTAATTCAAAGAGTGACATGACAGAGACATAATGGAAGAATTCATTACTTCATACATAAATGTATAGGTAACCTGGAATACATGAATTTTTCCATAGTTCACAAAATATCTAAGTAATAGCTGAGGGCTATCTTATTCACTCCTCTTGTTTTCACTCAGGAGCAGTTGCCTAATATCAGTATGTGGCAGCTATACAAGTTAAGACAACAATTTAAGTAATAATGGATTTGACTTGCAAGCAAACAACCATTAGATTTATTGCAGTTAAAGATCAACAGTAAAATAAGGTGTTTTGCCTCTTACAGAAATCTTGCACCAACATATTCACCAGACAGTCTCTGGCCACTTTATGCTGTTCCAGAGACACAAAGGAGCCATAAACCTGGCTTAACCCATTAGTTCAACTTAATTTATGTTCTCTACCAGGAGACTGGCACAAAGCATCCAAAAGGTAGAGAGAAATGTTGCTTAACAGACTTGAGTTACAGATTTGTTCCCACTGCTACAGAGAATTGATTTCCACACTAGTAATCTACCCAGCAGATACATATTACATAGTGACTGAAATATTCCAGCATTAAAAAGTTAAAGATTACAGCTAAAAGAAAAAAAAAAAAAAAGGAACAACCCCCACTAAAGGCTGGATGCTGCAAACGCTTCTGGACACTGCAGTATTACAGCTTCCTATAGTAAATAGCAAATACACATTGTAGTAAACACAAGGCTCTGGAGTAGGCCCACTGCAAAAGTGAAGAGCAGCTAATCTGACTATTGTTATAAGAAACTGTCCCTTAGCTTGTCATTAAAGTTGATTAGAAAGATGAAATTACCACAGAGCTTGGTAACTTTAGGGTTAAGAGAAACTTGTGATTTACTGAACCCCAGTGCCTTGCAAGACAGGGCTCCAAACAGGAATTAAAGAGGACAAGAAAGTCATACCTCAGTAGTCACCATCCTTCACTTATTAACTATGAAGCAAAACATTGTTCTGTTAGAAAGAAAACATTGCCAGAATGACTGAGGCACTTTGAAAATGCTACATGTTAAACCCTTTCTATTGTCTTTATATGCACTCGCACTTCAAGTATGAGATGTAAAGATCTTGTTGGAGGCTCCCCTATAATATATTCCAACTATAATTTCAATGGAATATGTAATTGTAGTGACTAAAGTAATTAAAATCAACAGCATGCAAAACAGTCTGGGTGACAGATATGTTAATTACTCCACTAATAGAAGCTAGCTACAGACACCTGAGCACATCTTCAATGACAGGAGGAGAAAATATTTATAAGCACCTTCAATAACCCTGCTTATACCAGGTTTTCCTTAACATTAGGAGTTAAAAGTTATTTCCCATAAACTGAAATGACCTTTTTCAGAACATACTGGTCTCTGCTTTTCAGTATAAACCTTATTCATCAAATCATAGATGGAGTGAAAGGTAGAGAAATAGAAAAGAAAAGAAAAAATACAAGAAAACCAACGATGTGCTGTCATTTATAAGGTTTTCAATTGGTCAATAGAATATCTTATTTTCCCCTTACCTGTAAGTGTTCCTCTGGGCCATCAAGCCACCATTACGGCACGGGAAATATTTTCCCCTGCATCAGTTCAAACCTAGTAATGTTGGTTCACGATCTGACCTTTACAAAATTCTGCATGAATGACACAGAACAAAAGGTCTATACCTCTAAGTCCCTGGAAATAATTTTCCCAGGCAAAAGGCAAACACCACAGATAGATAAAGAAAGGACCAAGAAGAGAATGTTTGCCCAGACTTCTTTGAATAATGCAGCGAGAGCACCACTTCACTTGCCTATCTGTTTGAAGGAGCTGAAAATTAGGAGAAATCAAGAGGTCTGGAGTATATAACTGACGTAGCAGAGGAAAAACAGTTGTTATGCCGATGAAAGCTGCTGGCTCAATTTCATCAAAGAACGCAGGTATGCCAGCAAAAAACAGAATGACAGCAAGAAAATGGCAATTCAGTCATTAATACACAAACCATGAGGTTAAACAATGAGACCATTCAACACACAAAACCCCTCTAACCACATGTATGAAGGCTAGTTTCAGTATCAGATCATTAATACTTGAACGGAGAATGTTCAGTGGAAGTTGCGTGGACCAAGTTGTGAGGATTATTACAATTCTTGGCTAAGAGATTAAGATATCCTACAGTAGGAACTGAGATTGATACAGGGTTAAATACACTAAAACAAAACATTGTATCACAAAACAATATCTTCTAGTAGGTAGTAGTAAGTGCTCCTGAACTGGAAACATCTGTGCATCTAGATTGCAATGAACTGCTGGCATCTGTAAGAAAGGGAAATGTGCTGAGGTGAGGTAAGGCTCACGTAGGCCACCTGAATCATTCCTTCAGAAGAAATGGGATTTCTCAAGGACTGCTGTGTTCAAATCTGATCACTCATGGTCAAGAACAACAAAATCAAACAGAAAGACTGGATTGTTTTTGTAACAATCCAAATGAAATAAAGTCTGAGAGAAGATACAGCTGTTCCCTATGCATACGGACAAGAAACACCAGGAAAGGAGAAGGGCTGCTTAGGTACCAGATAATGTTGGCACAAGAATAAACAGTTCAGAATTAAATTTAGGCTGGAGATTAAAAGCAAGTTTCCAAGAAGTGAATTTTTGAGGCAGATTTCTAGGTAGAATAGTGGGGCAAACAAAATAGCTAATTCTAGGATGGAGCTTGCTCAGCTCATGGAAGGGGTAATATCATGTAGTGAATGCAACAGTGGGGGACCTGACTCACCCAGGAGGCCTCTTCCAGTACTATGCTCCTAATGAGCATGCAGCAATTATTTGAGGATAATATCTACAGTCCCTTGGCAATGGAAGAAATACATAAAAATGTTCATTTTTATGTTGCCGTGGAGATAGCCCTCAGTATGTCCATGCCTACTTCCCTCCAGAAGCGTTTTGCTTTTTGTTTGCTCCATATTAGACTGTAAGTATTTGATTCTGCTATATCCTGGTCTGATCACTACAATACTTCCAAATCCTCATATAATTTAGGCTTCATCTCCAGAACTGGACCCTTGTATTTTAGAGAAAAGCATAAAACAATTATGTCTGGTTACAACTTGAATTTAGCAAGGGAATAAAGTATAAACTAGCCCTAGGAGATACATCCTCTGTCAGGAACCAAAGTGAGGTTTTTCATAAATGACTGTGTCCAGCTCTGTGAGCCATCTGGCAAAATATCTTCACATGCACTGTTTCCCACCCTCCTGTGATCACTTGTGGAGCTCCCACAATGTGCTGAAAGATGTGACTGCTATTCTGTTGTCAAAACCATCAGGACATTTTTGCCTAATAAGAACTGATGTGTCAACCTAAAAAAGGCTCTCCTTCTTCCTTATTGCTTGTATCTTTAAACAGAATACAAAATAGTCTAGACTTCATTTATGAGCATTTTCTTTCCATTAGCCCCAGTCAACAATGGGGAGAGTTGGGAAAATGAATTCTTACTGGTCATTTGCTTCAGAAGCAGTTGCTTGTGATGGTGAACTAATGAAAAGATGTTACGGATAGAGACTTGCAACCATAATATCACTACTACTCTGATTCAAGATATCTAGCATATGCCATATATCATCTAAATACATCATGGGATCTATTGCTTTTATAAAATAGCAACTAAACCAAGAAATGATGAATCTGGATATGGACTGGTGCAATATCCCCTATCCAAGTCATCAGAAGGCCCTAAATGTGAAGAGACAGGCATGCTGCAATTGCTTTAGTCATTAATAAATGTAAAATCTAAGTCACTGATCAGAAATTATTCCCTGTTTTGACCCCAAAGCATATGTTATTCCTCAGTCAATAATACAGATCCCTATGGGCTTAATTTCAGATAGTTGAATAGTCTTATCAACACTAATAGGACTTAAATATTTGCTGAAATAAGCTGTAGATCGGGGGCCATAATTTGCACAGTAAGATCCTTCCAGTCAAACTGCTAGTTCTTCCTATAGCACTGGAGACAGACTACATTAAGCTGCTGGAATCATTCACGTATTTCCAAATACGTAACTGAAAGTGTATCAACAAACTGGAAGAAGTTATGTGAAGAGGTAAACAAAAAAATGGTGGAATACAGGATGTGTATTGTGCTATGGCTCGGGGGTGAACCCCAGCTCTGATTTTCTCTCCCTCAGCCTGTCTGTAGACTCTAGCGTTTAAGTGACAGGCCAACACTTGCCCTGTCAGCACAGAACTCCCCCAGTTCTCTGCACCTGCAGGCTAGATTGTCAGCTTTTGCACAGGTGGTAGGAAAAATTGCTTATGGGAAAGATTGAAAGGGCTCTAGCAAATAAATATGTGCAGGCTGGATCAGTGATGACAGAGGAGAGATGCAGTCATCTATAAAGACACAAACATTAAGGAAGAAAGTGAGTTAAGCTGATACAAATGGTTAAAAGCAGGAGTAATGGGATGGAATTCAATAAAGGAAAGTATGAACTGAACATCAGGGGAAAAACACTTTGTCAAAAAGATCTAATATCCTGTAGTATTATCTCCCATGAGAATAGTCATTGCATTTTTCCACAAAACATGGTAGAAAACATGCTGGAGGGAGCAAAACTATGAACACAATGATCTAACACTTACTTTGTGCTTGCAAAACAAAGCAGTTTCGATTCTCTGTACTTTTGACATTCTTCCTCAGTGGTAGGAAACACCCCAGTCAAACACAAACACATAG